TGAGAAAGCAGTGGGAGTGAGACGTCCCACTCCATACCTTGTTCCATTTTGCTTTTTAAGTCATGTGAACGTATTATTTATTCCAAAAAAAAAAAAAAAACCAACGCACGTTTAAAGTTACGGATTATAACTCTGTGAAACCGAGAGGATACTGAGCGGTAAGATGTGTACATCACATCAAATCTTGTTAACGTGGGAACCTCTGAACAGTCAAGAGGGATCTTTACCCGGTTCATCTTTTAAATTCACCTTATAACTCAACGTTTGTACCCATTTACCAACCTCTCCGTTTCCTCCGCTCCCAAGCCCTTCACACCACTCCCTTTTCAAGCCTCTGCTTCTGTGAATTCAATTCTTTTAAAAGATTCCACGCGTGAGTGATACCACGCACTTAGCATCACGCCCTCACAGTTCATCCGTGTTGTTGCAAATGATAGGCTTTCCTTCTTTGTAAAGGCAGAATAATACATAATAGCCACTGTATCAGTCACGTGCACAGGAAATTTCCATACCTTGGCTATTGTGAACGATGCTGTAACAAATATGGGAGCACAGAAAGCTCTTCGAGATAATGGTTTTATTGCCTTGGGATATACACCCAGTGGCGCTGCCGGATCCTATGGTGGTTCTATTTTTATTTCCTCAGGATCCTCCACACTGTCTTCCTCAGTGACTGCACCAATTTACATCCTCACCAATGGTGCACGAGGGTTCCTTTTTCTCTGTATCTTTGTCCACACTTGCTCTCTCCTGTCTTTTTGGGACTGGTTCCTCTCACAGGTGTAGCTCACTGTATGTGTGATTTGCACTTCCCTGACGATGAGTGACATCGAGCACTTTTTCACGTACCTGTTGGCCATTTGCATGTCTTCTTTTTTTTGTAAGTTTTATTTTTAGTTATTTTTAAATTAAAAAATTTATTTTAGAGAGTGAGAGTGGGAGAGAGGGGCAGAGAGAGAGAGAGAGAGAATCTGAAGCAGGCTCTACACGCTCAGTGCAGAGCCCAATGTAGGGCTTGATCCCACGACCCCGGGATCGTGACCTGAGCCAAAATCAAGAGTCAGAGGCTCAAACGACTGAGCCACCCAGGTGCCCCTGTATGTCTTCTGAAAAATGTCTCTTCAGGTCTTTTGCCCATTTTAAAATTAGGTTAAAATTGGTGACTTCAGCTCAGGTCGGGATCTCATGGTTCATGAGCTCGAGCCCCTCCCTTGGGCTCACTGCTGTCAGTACAGATCCCACCTCAGATCCTCTGCCCCCTCCCTCCCCCTCCACCGCTCATGCTCGCTCTTTCTCAAAACGAAAAATAAATACATTAAAATCAGTTTCTTGGGGCGCCTGGGTGGCACAGTCGGTTAAGCGTCCGACTTCAGCCAGGTCACGATCTCGCGGTCTGTGAGTTCGAGCCCCGCGTTGGGCTCTGGGCTGATGGCTCAGAGCCTGGAGCCTGTTTCCGATTCTGTGTCTCCCTCTCTCTCTGCCCCTCCCCCGTTCATGCTCTGTCTCTCTCTGTCCCCAAAATAAATAAAAACGTTGAAAAAAAAAGAAAAATAAATTTGAAAAAATCAGTTTCTTTGTTTTGTTCTGTTTGCTATTGAGTTGTGTAAGTTCCTTGCCTGTTCTGGATATTAACCCCTCATCATATATGTGTTTACAAATATTTTCTCTCTTTCCATAAATTGCTCTTTCATTTTGTTGATGGTTTCCTTTTCTGAGAAGAATCATTACACGATTACGAATGATGTGTATTTGGCTCCTGCATGTGCTTCTTGGTTCTCTCAATGCCTGGGACTCTCTCCCTGGACCTGCGTCCTGAGAGTAGGGCTGGGACTTGCAGCCACGAGCTGGAACCCAGGTCACGTTCACTATTTGTTGGACTAGCTTAAGGGATGAATCTGTGCTCTGGAGACAGACTGCCCGAGTCCTAACCCCACTTTTTGTCCGTCGTGAGCTGTGTGACCCTGAGAGCACTCACTTCAGCTCCCTGTGCCTCAGTTTCCACTTCTGTAAATGAGGATAAAACAAGACCAAACTAAACAGTCCTTATCACTTAGGGTCGCTGTAAGGACCGCATGAACTAACTCACTGGTGCACATGACCCGGCCTAGAGTGAGAACGTGATAACTATCGGCTCCTCTTCTGGAAGGTGGAGGGCTCAAGAATAGCAACGATTAAGAGGCCGCAAGAGGTTGGCAGGGAGGGCGGGGGGCCCACGAGTGTGCGGAACAGATGCCCGAGGAAGCGGGCATCGCCGAGGGAAGGAAATGGCCAACCATGGCAGATGCCCGAAGATGACAGGGGGTGAAGAGGTCACTGGCCATCTCGGTCAGGGTAGTTTCCGCAGAGTGACGGGGACCGCAGCTGGCAAGCCCTGAGTTGGGGAAGGGGTGGGAGGTGACGAAGGAGGGAGCGAAGGTAGACGGCTCTTGGAAGGCCTGGCTGAGGAGGAGGAGAGACACGGGAGGCTCTCCGAGGGCACTGGGGGACGGGGACACTTTATTTGTAACTTGGGAGACCCTGGACTTCTTTAAATGCTTGTTGCATGGGCAGCAACTGTTGCAACCTCTGGATTAAAATAAGAAGCAGGAGTCTACACTGATATAAAAAATAAAGGGGCGCCTGGGTGGCTCAGTCGGTTGAGTGTCCGACTTCAGCTCAGGTCATGATCTCACACTCCGTGAGTTCAAGCCCCGCGTCGGGCTCTGGGCTGACAGCTCAGAGCCTGGAGCCCGCTTCAGATTCTGTGTTTCCCCCTCTCTCTGCCCCTCCCCTGCTCCTGCTCAGTCTCTCTCTGTCTCAAAAATAAATAAAAACATTTTAAAAACATTAAAATAAATAAATAAATAAATAAATAAATAAATGGGGGTGTCTGGGTGACTCAGTCGGTTAAACGTCCGACTCTTGGTTGCAGCTCGGGTCATGATCTCATGATTTGTAAGATCGAGCCCCTCATCAGGCTCCATGCTGACAATGCGGAACTTGCTTGAGATTCTTTCTCTCCCTCTCTCTCTGCCCCTCCCCTGCTCTCTCTCTCTCTTTCAAAATAAATACACTTAAAAAAACAAATAAATGAACAAGGACAGAAAAATGGTACCTAATAAAGGTAAAGGGTGCGGTGAAATTAGAAAACAGGGCGCCTGGGTGGCTCAGTCAGTTAAGTGTCCGACTTCAGCTCAGGTCACGATCTCGTGGCTCCTGGGTTCGAGCCCTGCATCAGGTTCTGTGCCGATAGCTCAGATCCTGGAGCCTGCTTCGGATTCTGTGTCTCCCTCTCTCTCTGCCCCTTCCCTGCTCTCTGTCTCTCTCTCAAAAATAAATAAACATTAAAAAAAAAAAAAGAAAGAAAGAAAAAGAAACCCAGCATCCATCAGCTTGAGGCAGAATCACCAATGGATGCTGACCCAGGAGGGTGAGCAGGATATTTGCATTGTCCCGAGGCGCATCCTCAGCAGATACTAAAGGGAAGGACGGTACATTTGCAGGTGAACACCACCTGGACCAAGCGAGCCAAGCTACAGCCAACAGCGATAGGAAGAACCAACGTCACACGCCTCCCGATATGATGCACGGAGGACACATGACTTCTATGATATTCCTGCCAAAGATGTATAACCTGAGTTGAGTCACGGGGAAAACCCAGACAAACCCACATTATAAAGCATTCTCTAAAACACTGGTCTCTGTTCTTCAAAAATCTCAAGGTCATGAAAGACAGAGACACATCAAGGAAGGGTTCTGGATTGAAGGAGGTTAAAGAGACAGGATGTCTAAATGCAGTCCCGGATCGGGTCCTTTGCAGGGAGAATAATTTCTTCACCGAGTGAAAACTGAACTAAGGTGTGTAGACAGCAGCATCATATCGATGCTAATTTCCTTGTTTTAATGTTTACTTATCTATTTTGAGAGAGAGAGAGAGAGCGGGGAAGGGCAAAGAGAGAGAGAGAGAGAGAGAGAGAGAGAGAGAGAGAGAGAGAGAGAATCCCAAGCAGGCTCCTCCCTGTCAGCGCAGAGCCCCATGCAGGGCCCAAACTCACAAACTGTGAGATCATGACCTGAGCCCAAATCAAGAGTCGGATACTTAACCAAATGAGCCACCCAGGTGCCCCTCGATGCTAATTTCTTGATTTGCCTAATTGTTCTGTGGTTGTGTAAGAGAATGCACTTGCTCTCAGGAGATACACACTCAAGTATTCAGGAGAAAAGGGGAATCATGAGAGAGCAAATGTGGTAACAGGTGAGCCAAGTTTGGGTAATCTGGATGAAAAGGCAATCAGAAATTCTAGGTAGTGTTCCTGCAGCTTTTCTATAGGCCAGAAGTTACTTCAGAAGAAAAAAAACTTAACACGATGGTGAGGGAAGAGATCGGGCAGGAGTAACGGTAGGTAACACGTCTTCGGGGCTCCCGTGTTCCAGGCACTGTCCACACACCGTCCGCCTCACAGCAGTCCTGTGAGATGTGTTGTTATCCTAGTCCCATTTCACAGAGGAGGAAACCGAGGCTCACGGCAGACGAGTAACTTACCTGGGGTTCCGTAGGGAGAGAAGGCAGCGCTGGGTTGGGAGGACTGACAGGGCAGGTGAGTGGGCTCCTGGATGAAGCTGGTTCCTGCACTTCCCTCCTAAGAGCCTCATTATCTGACCTGTAATGGTCATTGGTGACCGCCCTCCCCCATTAGACTACAAGCCCCGTGAAGGCAGGGCTGTGTCTGTCTCGGCCCCGGAAGAGGGCCCGGCATGCAGGAGAAATGCAGCAAGCGTTTCTCAACTGAATAACTGTTACCTATAATGATTACGATATGATGACTGTTAATGATAACAGAAATAAAGGTTCTCATTTGTGTTAATGCATTTCATCTTCAAAACAACCCGAAAGACGGTGTTATCCCCGCTGACAGCTAAAGAAACTGAGGCTCACAGAGAAGTCTCTTGCCCGAGGCAGGCAGCCAGGCGGGGCATGGCTGCCACTTGGTGCCCCCACCCACCTGCCTTCCAGCACCCACCTTCTGGAAGTCCTTCTTGGAGATGAGGCCACGGGGATCGGTGACGTAGTCCTGGAAGGCCTCAGAGCCCACGATGTCCTTGAGTTTCAGGAACATGTCGAAGAACTTGAGGATCATCTCCACGTTGGATGAGGATTCCACAAGCATGTCCACCATCTGCCGGGCAATCATGCCATTCACCACGTTCCCTGTGGGCAGGCCCTGGTCAGTGTGGCTGGTGGGACCTCCTCTCTGGAGCCCCCCCTGGGCTGCGCTCCTTCTCCAGCTCAGGAGCCACCAGGATCCCCTGTGCTGGTGGAAGCTTCCCTGGCCAGCTCCCAAGCCTCGCCTCAGAGGGCACAGCTCATTTCCTGATCTGCATCAGCATCATGTGTGAACCTGGCTGGTCCCCTCCCTGATAGGTGGGGGAGTCGTCAATAAAACAAACCGTGGCATAAGCTAACAGCAGGTCCCAGATGCCACGCCAAGCGCAGGGGAAGTGTGTTACTATCCGTGTTTCCAGATGAGGAAATAGACCCAGAGAAAGTCACACGCCCAGGGTTACATCGCCAACGAGGGGGTGAGGAGGACTTGAACCCAGAGCTGCATGACCTCAGGGCTCACACGCCTAAGCCTTCCACTTGTCCTCTGAGGTCAAGCAGGTCTGTAGATGAGCAAGGTAGGCCAAAGTTAAGAGGGCAGGGAGAAGTGGAGACTCTGGTAAACGGATCCCACCCCTGTCTAAAGCAAACTGGCTTCAGCTTCTTTTTGTACTTTTCCATTTAATTTATTTATTTAGATTTAAAAATTTTTATTTTTAAGTAATCTCTACACCCGGCCTGGGGCTCGAACTCACAACACAGAGGTCAGAGTTGCATGCTCCATGGATGGAGCCAGCCAGGCGCCCCTGTACCTTTCAATTTTAACATGGCTTCCAATTACATGAAAGTTGCAACAGTGCAGGGGGACCCTCCTATTCCAGATTCACTGACTGTTACATTTTGCCACATTTGCTTCCTAATTCCTGTCTGGCTCTCTCCCTTCTCTTCCCCTTCCCCTCCTCCCCCTCTATTTTTCCCCTGGGGCCATTCCAGAGTAAGCTGCAGACATGGTGTTTTTATCCTGAACATGTCAGTGTATATGCCTTAAAAGACAAGAACATTCTCTAATATAATCATAGCGCAGTCATCAAAATTAGATTTGACATTGATACACTTTACTTATTTAAGCCGGTGCAGCTGATTTTTTGCCATGCGAGAATGTGGACGGGGTGGGTGGGGGGAAGGGTCACCAAATCTTTCCAATTTTCATGAAAAGCTGGGAATCTGATGTTTAAAGGGAACCCTCTGATTTTTATTTATTTTTAAACATTTATTTGTTTATTTATTTAATCTCTACACCCAACATGGGGCTTGAACTCATGACTCCAAGATCAAGAGTCGCATGCTCTTTCCACTGAGCCAGCCAGGCACTCCTTCCCTGCTTTTTTTTTTTTTTTTTTTTTTTTTTTTTTAAGGAACCTTCTGATTTTTAAAAATGCTTATTTGGGATTGCAAGCTAGTGCAGCCACTCTGGAAAACAGTATGGAGGTTCCTCAAAAACACTAAAAATAGAACTACCCCACGACCCAGCAATTGCACTACTAGGCATTTATCCACGGGATACAGGTGTGCTGTTTCGAAGGGACACGTGCACCCCCATGTTTATAGCAGCACTACCGACAGTAGCCAAAGTATGGAAAGAGCCCAAATTTCCATTAATGGATGAGTGGATAAAGATGTGGTATGTACATACAATGGAATAATACTCAGCAATCAAAATGAATGAAATCTTGCCATTTGCAACGACGTGGATGGAACTGGAGGGTACTATTCTAAGTGAAATTAGTCAGAGAAAGACAAAAATCATATGACTTCACTCACATGAGGACTTTAAGAGACAGAACAGAGGAACATAAGGGAAGGGAAACAAAAATAATATAAAAACAGGGAGGGGGACAAAACAGAAGAGACTCATAAATATGGAGGACAAACAGAGGGTTACTGGAGGGGTTGTGGGAGGGGGGATGGGCTAAATGGGTAAGGGGCACTAAGGAATCTACTCCTGAAATCATTGCTGCACTATATGCTAACTAATTTGGATGTAAATTTTAAAAAATAAAAAATAAAATTAAAAAATGCTTATTTACGTTTGACTTCAGCTCAGGTCATGAGCTCAGGTTTGTGAGTTCAAGCCCCACATCGGGCTCTGTGCTGACAGCTCGGAGCCTGGAGCCTGCTTTGGATTCTGTGTCTCCCTCTCTCTCCCCCTCCCCCGCTCATGCTCTGTCTCTCTCTGTCTCAAAAATAAATAAACATTAAAAAAATTTTTAGGGGCGCCTGGGTGGCTCAGTCGGTTGAGCGTCCGACTTCAGCCCAGGTCACGATCTCACGGTTCGTGAGTTCGAGCCCCGCGTCAGGCTCTGGGCTGATGGCTCAGAGCCTGGAGCCTGCTTCTGATTCTGTGGCTCCCTCTCTCTCTGCCCCTCCCCCATTCATGCTCTGTTTCTCTCTGTCTCAAAAATAAATAAACATTAAAAAAAATTTTTTTTTAAATGCTTATTTATATTTGACAGAGAGAGAGAAAGAGACAGAGAGAGAGAAAGAGAGCAAGCAGGGGAGGGGAGCAGAGAGAGCTGGAAACAGAATCGGAAGCGGGTTCCAGGCTCTGAGTTGTCAGCACAGGGTTCAGTGCGGGGCTCGAACCCACAAGCTGTGAGATCATGACCTGAGCCGAAGTCAGATGCTTAATTGACTGAGCCACCCAGGCACCCCAGGAACCTTCTAATTTTTAAAAGCTAATGACTACACATCAAAAACACTGAAAGATTGTAGGAGGATTATCCATTGCAACATTTTTTTGTAATAGCAAAACATTTTTTTAATTTGAATGTCCGTTGACTGGGGTGTGGCTAAATGAATCACCGTTCACTCACACAATGGAGTATTATGCAACCATGGAAAGGAATGAGGACACTGAATCTCTGTAGAAAAGTCTTTGTCTACTAGTCAAAATGTCTTATTCATTAGCAGTAAATAATGGTTGTTTTAAGTCACTAAGTTTTGAGGACATTCCTGAGGCAGCAAAAGCCAAGTGACACATTTAACAAATGAACATAGAGAACTATTAGGTACATACATTTTTTTTAAATGTTTATTTATTTTTGAGACAGAGAGAGACAGAGCATGAACAGGGGAGGTGCAGAGAGAGAGAGGGAGACACAGAATCGGAAGCAGGCTCCAGGCTCCGAGCCGTCAGCACAGAACCCGAAGCGGGGCTCGAACTCACAGACCGTGAGATCATGACCTGAGCCGAAGTCGGACGCTCAACCGACTGAGCCACCCAGGCGCCCCAGGTACATACATTTTTTTTTTTTAATTTTTTTTTCAACATTTATTTTTATTTTTGGGACAGAGAGAGACAGAGCATGAACGGGGGAGGGGCAGAGAGAGAGGGAGACACAGAATCGGAAACAGGCTCCAGGCTCTGAGCCATCAGCCCAT